GGGGGGGGGGGGGGGGTTCACCGGAGGACTTGGGGCTGGTCACGCTGTGGCCAGCAACTGAAGCTTCAGGGGTTCTATCCAGACCAGGAGCAGGGAGCGCGGGGCTGCTGGGGCCCATGGCTTCCTTTACCCAGGTAAAGTGCCCTGCCCGGGCAGGACCCACGCAGAGCAGAGCCCGTCAGGAGGGGGTTCAGGATCGAGTGGGACCCCTGTCATTGGCCACAAGGGAGAAGGGATGGTCCAGATAAAATCAGGGGTGGCCGCAGAGCAGGCAGCCCTGCACTCGGAAGAGGGAGCCCTGAGGAGCCAGAAACGCTGTCCAGAGTGTAGCCTCCCAGAAGTTCAGGGAGACTGACCACAGAAATGAGCGAAACTGGAAAATGGTGAGTTCAGTCCTCTTGCTTCCACCCACCAGGAAGCTATTAGAATAAAAAAGAAGAGGGGCAAATAGTATCTCCACAGACGGGGAGGGTGGTCAGAGATACACCTGCAGACAGGTCAGGATTGTTCAGAGTGGCCAGGAGATGACGGCCCCTGGAAGCACAAGATCAGAACAGCTCAGCCCAGGGGGCAGAACTCAGCAGAGAATTGAAGTGGAGTCAGATTCATTTCAAAATGAAGTAGGAGGAGTTCGAGGCTGAATAAAAATAACACATTTTTGTTCCTTAAGAAAAATCGAAGGTGAAAAAGAGGGACACTTTAAAATCAAAAAGAAATGAGTAAAGATTAAGGCAGAGTAAAAAAAAAAAACAGGTACTGAAGTTAGGTAACAAAAGCCCTTTGAAGAAGAAATCCAAAGGAAGATAATGGTAAAAACTACGAGTCCAGAAAACATTCCTGAAATGTCAAAGTTAGGTATTGAAGGAGCCAATCACAGATCTGAGAATGTCAACTCGGATGAACAAGACATATTCTGTTCAAGTCACTGGGCTTTAAAGGAAGAAGCAAATCCTTTGGGGCATCTATAGGCAAAAAGAGCAAATGACTTACAAGGCAAAGTAGATGGGATTGCTGTCAGACTTTGTCAGCAAGGCTTTATGCCAGGAGAAAATGGAGTAATATTTATGATTCTCAGGGGAAGGAAAGGTAGACCTAAGGATCGTATTCAGGAAGACTGCCTTCCACGTTGGAAGGGCGCAGATGACCTCCGCCAGCAGGAGCTGAGCAAATAGGGTTGTCGTGGGGCCTTCCCGAGGAATCTGCGGGCAAGTGAGCCTTGCGCAGCCACCGTGGCTAGAGAGATGGGCTCTGAGCCGGGGCAGGCTCAACGAGGGCTCAAGCGCTGGAGGTCTGGCTGTGAAGTCAGTGAGGGGAACAGGAATGGTTCACCTGATTTCTCAGGAATGGTACTTGGCAGTGGTGGGGGTGATTCTAACCATTCAAGTTAGAATGCTTGTCTTGAAGCTGTGTGATGTGGGTTCAGCAAATAAGCAGTCATGGGCTGGCCAAGTCCGCTCCTCCCCTAGTGAGGAGCAGAGATGCAGATGTCCTAGAAAAGACCGCGTAAAAGCCTTTTGGCCTGAATTTGTATGGGAAGCATCAGTTACAAGTCACAGGAATTGTATCTTTAAAAAAAAAAAAAAAGCGAAGATCATTTCCACATTTTGGTTTTGAAATTGTTTCCCACCAAAAGAAACCAGAGTCCCTTGGAGAAACGGCCGGTTGCGGGTTTGGGGTGGGAAGTATGGAGGAACCCGTAGCCCCTTGTTAGGCTGGATGGCAGAGAATCTGTCAAAGACCACCTGGGTCCCATCCAAAGGACTCGGAGCTCACTTGAGGCTCCCACGCGCTGAAGATGGCAGGCAGTGCGGCCCACCGGATATATTTAAATCCGTGATCTCCTAATGATGTTAAGAAAGGAAAGACTACGTGGTTACCTTGGAGGGTGGTAGGGAACCAGTTCGTAACCTGGAAAACTGGGCAGGTAAGGGGAAATGAGATTCATCCTGCCATAACCACATGACATTTACCACTGGTACCAACCAACAGATGATGTAGAGTCTCTAAAAGCTATTCCAGCTCCTAAACGCAGGAGAAACCACAGGGCAGCCCCATTTTGCACTCCTCGACGAATCAGCAGACCTAAGCGTTGAGCATCGGTGGCCCTTGATATCACAAAAAGAGAAACACGAGATATCGGGTGCCTTCAGTGAAAGAACAGGATTGCACCTTCAGAATGACTTCAGGGGCCGGCGGGGCTGGGTGAGCCAGCTGCTAACCGGCAGCAGATGCAGGGCACTAGGAGCATGCAGTCAGCAAGGGTCCAACTGCCAGTAGGGCTCCGGTTCTTCAAAAGGAAAATCGTAAGGAAAAGCAAGAGATGGAGGAAGTCGTGTCCTACAGGAGACTCAAAGACACACTGAAGTAGGGCTTCCCTGGTGGCGCAGTGGTTGAGAGTCCGCCTGCGGATGCAAGGGGACGCGGGTTCGTGCCCCGGTCCGGGAGGATCCCACATGCCGCGGAGCGGCTGGGCCCGTGAGCCATGGCCGCTGAGCCTGCGCGTCCCGAGCCTGTGCTCCGCAACGGGAGAGGCCGCGGCGGTGAGGGGCCCGCGTACCGGAAAAAAAAAAATAAAAAAGACATACTGAAAAAGTAACGGACCGAACTATAATGTCTGGGATGTTGCACTTGCGTGACAACCGTACATAAATGCAAGGGAACGATTATTGCACAGGTCAGGATGGTGGTTATATTTGGGGTTGAGAGGGGGTGAGCTTGGGAAGGGCACGGAGGGACTCCCGGTGGGTGGCCAAGACCTGTATCTTGACGGGGCATTTGTCTTTCTGCATTCATTGTGGTCAGCTCTGCATTCCGGGCTCTCTGCATGTCGTGTGTTTTAGGGGAAAAAGGTTAACATCCGGTAAAGCCGCAGGACCTCCCTTCCCCAGGAGGTCTGCTTGGGAGGATCCACCCTGGGGCGGGAAGCTGCGTGGGCGGCAGGACCCCCGCCTGGGCCCGGAGCGCAGGAGCCGGAGCTGAGCCCTCCTTCAGCGAGAGAAGGACAGTGACAGTTGCTGTGGGATGACGGGACCTGGAGCCTGGGACACCCCTCCCCTTCCCTTCCGGGAATGGCGATCACTCGTCATTTTTGTGCTTTTTATTGAGTGAGCCCGTTGTGCTGGTCGCTGTCCTCTCCGCTTTCCGGGGATTCTTGCATCCTTTTAAAGATGACGTTTGTGCGGCAGGGAAGTTGCCCCCATGAGGAAGGCGGCCCAGAGGGGAGCCGCTGACTTCCAGCCTGACCTGGAGGGGTGCAGACTCAGACTCTGGTGTGCGTGAGAGCCGCCCGCTGCTTGGAGAGCGCCGGTCCCTGCACCCACTCGCAGGGGGGACCAGGAATCCGAAGGTTGAGAGAGAACCCCGCCTCCCGAAGTGATTAGACCCTCTTCCATTTAATGGCTTAACACCTGCTTAAAAAGTAGTGCGTGGGGTAAACAGAACGCAGCAGTGGAGAGAAGGGTCACGTAGCCCAAGGCTACAGAGAAAGCCTGCACCCGCTGCACGCACCTCACTGCCCAGCGGGCTCCTCCGTCCTTCTTTCCCGTTTCTGGACCTGGACGGGTGGTCGGCCCCTCGCCAACCGCCACCCCCGCCCCCGCCCGCAGCCAGGGCCCCGGATTGAGTTACAGGTGTTTCACAAGTTCAGATGGGCTGTGTTCAGTTCCTGTCATCATGATTGTAAATACTCTTCATCGCTGAGTCAGGTGGCGTATTGTTAAACTTTCTTGACAACTTTGAAAACAAGACGTTTATTTCAGTCAAAGGAGTGCAGAATACTTGCTATGGGTCAGGTGGTGCGGCTCATTTCCCACAAAGAGCAAGTGTCCTTTCCAGCCCAGCCCAGTCCACCCCTGCTGCCCGGACACACTGCTCAGAGGCAGACAGCTCCCCAAGGTTCAGTTTTTTATTCTTGAATATCTCCACATAATGTGCTTATGACTCTATTTCTTTTTCTTTTTTTTGGCTGTGCCTGGTGGCTTGCGGCATCTTAGTTCCCTAACCAGGGATCGAACTGGGGCCCATGGCAGTGAAAGCATGGAGTCCTAACCACTGGACGGCCAGGGAATCCCCATGATGCCACTTCTTGATTTATGTTGACACCAAAGTGGGCCCTGTGTCATCTCTTGAAAAGCGGCCCCCACCCGGCCCAGACTTCCTACCTGGATTTTTTTTTTTTTTTCCTGCTCCATATATGATTCTATATCCCAGTACCCTTTCCAGTACAGGCGGTCTTGGGACCCAGACTACCCATGCAGATACTGCTTTGCTGCTCCCAGGCCATGTAGCCTTGGGCGGTGGTTCATCTTCCTGGTGCCTTGGTGTTCTCACCTATGAAGACCCGAGTTCCATGGAGCCCACCTTACAAGACTTAAACGCATGGATGCTTATTAAGTGCATGGGACCATTGTCTCAGGACAGTTGGAGCACTTCGTTCCCGGCCAGGTGCTGGAACACAGGGATCCGGCCGCTGTCCTTGTGGGCTTGCAGGCTAGTGAGGGGGAGAGGGAAAACAATGTTTGTTAGGTTATAATGGGATTCACCTTTGAAAGACACCTTCGCGGTGCACCTAGGGGCGGGGCCAGAGGCGGGAGGGCGGGGCTGTGATCAGGGGGCGGGGCCGTGCCCCCGGGAGCGAGGCCGGAACCCAGGCAGGAGTCCGGGCTTGAGCACGTGCCCCACCTCTATTCTGTAACTCAGGCCCAAGCCGGACAGGGAAGGCAAATGTCACCAAGGGTGCACACAGAGCAGGCCAAGCATGCACACAGAACAGTCTCGTAGAGCTGGGCAGGCTGCGGGGAGGGGGCAGGCTCTCATCTCTCCCGGGAGGCCGGCCGCTCAGGCCAGGCGCGGCGTAATTGTATTAGAGGCTTTGTTGGGCAGATGGCCCGTGGTGGTGTCCTCAGTTTGCAGACGGCAGGACCAAGGCCCCACGCTCCTTTATTGTTTGCACTGGGCATACAGTACCCACAAACCCAGGGACCAGGGTGAGGAAGTCTGTAATAGAGGCTGCGGTGTTTGGAGGTTGCACTCCCAGTTAATGGAGGGTCAGGACTTCCATGCAGCCTGTGATCCCATTAACCAGTCCGGTGACCCCTTTCTCTTCTCTCTTCTCCACCCGCAGCCAGGATTATCTTCCGAGAGCCCAGATGTGACACCATCATTTCCCGCTTGTACACCCACAGGGTGCTGCAAGCCCTTGTCCCTGGGCAAAGGTGGAAACCGCGCTGCGGCTGCCTTCCGGTCTGGCGGGGACGCGCTCTGCTGGCCCCCAGCCTGGGGACTGGGCCTCGGGAGGCATTCTTTACTAGGAGCCTTCCCTAGACCTCCATCCCGTACCCCCGTTGGTTTCTGTTGTTTCCTTTGGCAGACATTTCTGGCGTCCCTACTAAGTCCCGGGCATTGTTCTAGATGCGGGAGAAACGGCCGTGAAGGAAGGAAGAGTCCTAAGGGATGGGTAATGAATGTTTAGTAAAATGCCAGGGCGTGTTCGATGCCCTGAGGACAGACACTAGGAGGGGTGAGGGGAAGGGGACCGATGGGAGGGACTTCTGACCAGGGCCAGGCCCGTGAGGAGGGCTCCGCACTGGCAGGGCCCAACTGCCCTCTGAGGGAGGTTCTGCCACCGCCCCCGTTACAGGGAAGCCTGGGAGGGCGCACAGGTGAGCGAGGTTCCCGGGGGCACGCAGAGCAGCAGGTGGGGGGGCCCCAGGCCGCCCTCGCACGTAGTTTCTCTGACTCCCTCCCCTCCCCTCTTGCCTTCCAGTGGACATCCTCATCATGGATGACGACGACGTCCCCAGCTGGCCCCCGACCAAGCTGTCCCCGCCCCAGTCGGCGCCCCCGGCTGGTCCCCCGCCCCGGCCGCGGCCGCCCGCCCCCTACATCTGCAACGAATGCGGCAAGAGCTTCAGCCACTGGTCCAAGCTGACGCGGCACCAGCGCACGCACACGGGCGAGCGGCCCAACGCCTGCAGCGACTGCGGCAAGACCTTCTCGCAGAGCTCGCACCTGGTGCAGCACCGGCGCATCCACACGGGCGAGAAGCCCTACGCCTGCTCCGAGTGCGGCAAGCGCTTCAGCTGGAGCTCCAACCTCATGCAGCACCAGCGCATCCACACGGGGGAGAAGCCTTACGCCTGCCCCGACTGCGGCCGCAGCTTCACGCAGAGCAAGAGCCTGGCCAAGCACCGGCGCTCGCACAGCGGCCTCAAGCCCTTCGTGTGCCCGCGCTGCGGCCGCGGCTTCAGCCAGCCCAAGAGCCTGGCGCGCCACCTGCGGCTGCACCCGGAGCTGTCGGGGCCTGGCGTGGCGGCCAAGGTGCTGGCGGCCAGCGTGCGCCGGGCCAAGGCACCCGAGGAGGCGGCGGCGGCGGACGGCGAGATCGCCATCCCGGTGGGCGACGGCGAGGGGATCATCGTGGTGGGCGCGCCGGGCGAGGGGGCCGCGGCGGCCGCAGCCATGGCGGGCACGGGGACCAAGGCGCCGGGACCCCGCTCGCGGCGCGCCCCGGCCCCCAAGCCGTACGTGTGCGTGGAGTGCGGGAAGGGCTTCGGGCACGGGGCCGGGCTCCTGGCCCACCAGCGCGCCCAGCACGGGGACGGGCTTGGGGCGGCGGGGGGCGAGGAGCCCGCGCACATTTGCGTGGAGTGCGGCGAGGGCTTCGTGCAGGGCGCGGCGCTGCGGAGACACAAGAAGGTCCACGCCGTGGGCGCGCCCTCCGTCTGCAGCCGCTGCGGACAGAGCTACTACCGGGCAGGCGGGGAGGACGACGACGACGACGACGAGGCGGCGGGCGGGCGGTGCAGCGAGTGCCGCGGCGGGGAGGGCCGGTAGGGGCGGGGGCCCGGGGGGGCAGGGCCCCTCGGGCTTGGCGGGGACGACGGCGCAGGACCCAGAGACCCGGGGAGAAACGGACAGAGGGCTGCCCCGGAACGGCGGCGCGCTCTACCCCCTCCCCTCCCGCGGCCTGTGCGGCCCGAGAGGTGGGGCGGGACGCTGGGGACGCTCACCGGGCCGCCCGGCCCCTCCCCGCGCCCGGCCCTCGGCCTGGCCTGGCCTGACCCTTGTAGGTTCTCGGCCGAGCCCGAATCAGGACGTGTGAGAACTAGAGAGACCAAGATACGACAAAACCCACGAGCGAAAGACCATTTTCCCTCTTTCTCTTCCCCCACCAACGGGGGGGTGTTGAGAAGATGGCGAACATTGGGACCTTTCCACTCGGA